CACACTGCTGTGGAATGCCAGGCCCCATTATCCCCAGAACTCAGAACCACACTGAAGGGGCCCAACCAGGACACTAACTGGATATTTTTAAAATATGCATCTCCCTTGACAGTCTCTGGAAATAGATTCCAAGACCCCTTCAGAAACCAGTTCAAGGAGGCTAAAGCCTTGTCTATAAAGTGACAGATGGTTTTTATACAACCTCTCCCATGTGCTTTAAAACATCTCTGCACTATTTACCATACCTTATACAATATAAACACTGTATAAATGGTTGTTACATTGCATCGGTTAGGGGGTAGTGACAAAGAAAAGTCCACAGATAATTGGGTGCAGATGATATTTTAAAACATATTCCATCTGTGTCTGACTGCATTTGCAAATGTGAGACAGACTGAGTGTATAAAACAGAAGGGTCGTGACATCTGTGGGCACCACACACTTCAAGCTGCAGTTTCAAAGCTCCCCTCGCCAAGTGTTAGTAGTTCATACCAATCGCTAAGAGAGGAAAAAAGTAATTTTGATTAGTGAGGGTTTAATTTGTCTAAGACAAGTATCTACCACTTCCCAGTCATGATTCTAGGTAGGAGGGAGGCCACAAAATGTGCGCTGTACAGCAGGCTGTGACTAGGACTGTAGTTGCACTGGGCACTGTACTGTGGACCATAAGCTCTATCTTTAAAATTTTTTTTAATTGTTTTTTTTTGTATATGAGTGTTACGCCTGCATGTATGTAAATGCAGCCATGTCACACAGTACCCAGGGAAGATAGACGAGGACGATGGACTCCCTGGAACTGAAGTAACAGATGGTTGTTATCCACCGTGTGGGTGTTGGGATTCGAACCCTGGTCTTCTGTAGGAGCGGCCAGTACTCTTAACCACTGAGCCATCTCGCCAGCACCAACATTCTCTATCTTTATCCACAGGAAGCCACAGTTTCCTGACATTGGATCTGTGAACTGAAGGAAGCCAGTTCATTCATGGTTCACTGGCTCATACATCAAACGTACCTCATAACAAGCAGTGACTTACTGCTAATTATTCTCACCAAGACTGGAAAGAGTCATATAGAACCTAAGCAGACTTTTTGCTAAGTACTGTAATGTTGATGTTGCCACAAGCAAATGATGACTGAACCCATCTTAAGGGTTCTCTTTGGCTTCTGAGCTCCACCACATGCAAGGCCCTACAGACGTCACAGCCTATTTCTTTTAATTATTAAATTCATTTATGGTGTTTATTTATTTATGGAGGTTTGTACATGTGCCAGAGCACACATGTGGAGGTCAGAGAACAGGAAATAGTTCTCTCCTTTAACCATGTGGGACTTAGGGATTGACCTTGGGTCATCAGGCTTGGCAGCAAGCACTTTTACCTGCTGAGCCATCTCGCTAGCCTGCCAGTGTCTATAACAATGAACCATTTCTGTAGGTGACAAAATATTGTCTGGGGATTGGTACTTAGTTAAGGTAAGCTTGCCTACCCAGCAATGTGGAGCAGGCTAAAGTGAAATTAATGGTTAATTTTTGGTATTATTTTATAGTGATATAATATAAATTCCTTT